CGTACGTACGTACGTACGTACATGCATACATACATACATACATACATACATACATACATACATACATACATACATACATACATACATACATACATACATACATACATACATACATACATACATACATACATACATACATACATACATACATACATACATACATACATACATACATACATACATACATACATACATACATACATACATACATACATACATACATACATACACTTACGAGAACAATACAGGTACAGCTCTAGAATACGGAACGAAAAGCCCATATACAACACACCGGGATCTTTTTCATTTTTGATCCCGCCTTCTTGCTAAATTTTCATGACAATCAATACCTAACCAGCCAAAATGCGTATCCTTCGGCTGTAAGGCATTGTTCACATCTTGGGCAGTGGCAGAAGAGCAATACATTGAAATATCGTACAAATTCTTTTTCACGCTCGTGAAGATTGCTTTAGGTTGTCATGGCCATTACCACCGCAGTTGCTCATTTGATAATTTTTACCTACATACACTCTTCAGTCCTTAGAGACAATGACTGCCTGCTCTTCGCCTGTTTAAATGCGAGGCCATTTTTACACGATCAGTCTGTCTGTCTGTCTGTCTGTCTGTCTGTCTGTCTGTCTGTCTGTCTGTCTGTCTGTCTGTCTGTCTATATATCTATCTATATATCTATTTATCTATCTCCTCTATCTATCTATCTATCTATCTATGACTATGCTCTCATGGCTGTTGAATTTATTGAAAGAATACCAAAACTTGCAGGGCATTACATGAGTGTATGACAGACATAAATAACAGCTCATACCGTGAAAGCCATGATGTGCATGCCATAAATCACCTGATCTTCCCAATGTCGTTCTATCTCTCTTGCAGCTTTTTTTGTAAATTTTATATACCGAAATTTGTAGGCTATCACAAGAGTCTATGGCCGACATAACTGATAAGTCTTAAGTTAGAAATCATTAGACGCATGTCATGTAAGCCATGACTTGCATGCCATGACTTCGGGATGCTCGCAGCGGTTTAATTTAATAGATAAGCATCAAAACTGGTATTGCATGTCGTGGCTGTATTACAAACATAATTTCCAGGTGGTAACATAATTATCATAGCATGCATGTCATGTACACAATGACTTACGTGCCACGCTCAAGACGAGCTCGTGGTTGTTCTAACCGCTTGATATACACCAAGGTTGGTATTTCGTAACGTGACAATATGCGAACATATGTGACAGGTGGTAACATGATGAACATGGCATGTATGTCATGTGCGGAATAACTTACGTGCAACGCTCATGGTGAGCTCAAGACAATTTCGCTTGCTTGATTGTTGATACACACCGAACTTAATGTTACGCGACGTGACTAGGACTTATTTATACGATAGCTCACATACGACAGTTTATAATAAAAATTACTGACATCTATGCCATGCGTAGAATAATTTACATGCCACGCTTATGTTTTTCTCTTCTTATTTTGCAATGAAAGTTAGCGACGGGTGCACAACAGTGAGATATACAGTATAGTTTTCACCTTTTCCACCTGTTGTTTCCTGCAGACGCACTCGATCGATCGAGAACACTGCTTTTTTTTTAGGCCCATCCAGTTAGATGGCTAAGCGAGCGAATTCCTAGTGAGTCGCTCCTCACGCCTCTTTCTTGCTCTGTATTGTAAATGCAACCTCTCCGCACCACCCTTTTAGGCACTTCTCCGCAATTTTTTTCGGCGCAGGTACTGCAGCAAACAATGCGCATGTAACATTTAGTAGATTATCTTGTAGCGGCCATCAGTTGATTCTTTCTCAAAGTTCCCGAAGAGGCATGTAGCTGTAGATTGACTTAGGCTTTGGTGTAGCGATTCACGAGGACTGTTCCAAAGGCTACTCCTAAAAGTAGCATTATCGCAGTTTTTTGCGACAATCTGGCTTTGTGAACACTTTGGGAGGATTGTTTTACGTAATTTATTACTTAGAATATCTGCGTGCTGCTCACTTGTGCGCACGTACACATGTGGCTCTTGTGGATGTAAGAATACGCAAATACCGTCAATTTCATTTGCCTCCGAACGTTACCGATAGGTTCTGTGAAATTTCGGGGCCAAGTGTTGGGGAGCTATGACAGCTAAAAACGCAATATTGCTTCAAAAAACGTTGCTGCTGTTTGCAAGGCTGCAAGTTTCACAGAAATAGTAATTGCAACAAACGAAACTTTCTTGCACGCCCAGCTATTTAAAAACTTTGACTAGCCACATACGAACCTGATAAGTATACTTTGCAAGCGCACGCATAAATAAATCAACAAGTTCACTGGTTCCTTGAAAGAAAGTAGTATCACGCAAGACTTTCCATGAAATGTCGCATTGACAAGGATTCTGTGCAGGTGAATTTTCATGAGTCGTACGGATTCATGAATGAAAAAAAAAATGACTGAGCCCTATAACGTCAACTACTTTGGAACCACTCTTTCAACCTATGACAAAGTTTCTGCGCTTCGCTGTGGGAACCAAATAAAAAAACAGAAATTTCAGGTAAAGTGACAGCAATATTATGGGTGACGCGTGCTGCCAGTTCGAAGTACGTGCGCTTTTCGGCACTTTACATCAATTATTTTATACCTAAGCTCCTCGCACAAGGCATGCGCTTCATTTATTGGTTCGTTCCATCTTTTGATGCAGGGTGTTTGTGTTTATCAGAAGCACTTGCCTCCTTGTGAAGGGGAAACAAAAAAAAATATTTTGTAGGAGCAGATTGACCCCAGTCAATTGCTCATTTTAACATTACGTAGCGTCATTTTGAATTTATAGTCGACTGTTCCGCACTCATAGTTGCATAAAAGTAAGCATGAAATGAAATCTATGTGGAAATAAGGCGAATAGTTTCAACCAATACCTTCAAAATTGCAATAAGCGCATATTTTAAAGGGACACTAAAGGAAACTATCATGGTCGACGTTCATTGTTGAAATAACGGTCCAGAAACCTCGTAGTATTACTTGTGTGCGAAGTGTTCATTGTTGAAATAACGGTGTGGAAACCTCGTAGTATTACTTGTGTGTGAAGTAATGACTTTTTTTAAACGAAATCACGTTTTAGCGCACTTCAAATCACCTGCCTCAAGAAGCGGAACGTGTCACGTCACTGTTGCCGTGCCCTACATTGCCCGACTTTACTGCACGCCCACCAACAATAGTATAAAAACGAAAGCAGCGGGAGCCACAACAGCAATGACATCTAAAAATTTCCTGTTATTATATTCGAAATATCAGAGCTGTTTTGAATCAACTCGACCCCACTAGAGGGCACGACCTGTCCAGTTTAACCACGCAAAAACTGGATTTTTGAGCCCCTCGCAACATCTATAGTACATCCGGCGGTTTTCTTTTGTATAAATGAAACAGAAACGAGCAAGCAGCATTTTATTGCGTCTATGTATGCACGGAAATTTGTTTATTTTGTGCAGCTAGATCGATTATTAGAGATTATTGTATGTGGTTCGTTTGACGTCATTCGGATTATTTTGAGAAATGTCGTGCTGCGGCGCATCTATTCTACTGCATTTACCTTCTATTCTCGGTAAGGAGGGCCCTGCTGTTCATAATATCCGTTTTAGATGTTTTCACACATATAAATTTCATTCTGACATGTCTCTTTAAATGGCCAACTCCGGCGATTTTTTGAGGTCAATGGATCTCAATGAAATTCGCTGGGTACGTTCCTTCGCATATTTTTGTCATTTATGCCAAATTACAGACTTGGGAGACAAAAATTTTAAAGATTGCCTGGAAAAGATCACCTCACTTGCCAGAACTACTGGCAGCATTGTCTGTGCGACGTCGAGAACGGCATGACGTCTCAGTGACGCAGCCGATAGCGTAGCTGATTTGGCCGCTACAGCGTTTATTGTGCTGGCCACAAGGCAACTGCAGTGTTGTTTGGCACGGGTATAGCACGGGAAAGTTTTCCTCCTTCCTCTGTGCTGCTTGGCCGGTGCTTTGCTGGCTTGGCTTTCACGGTTTTCGTACTCTGCGCCGGCGGGACCGGTATATGGCCTCCGATTCTTACCAAATAGTACGTCATACACAGACAGGGTGCCCGGTTGGGTTTTGGTATTGGTATTGCACCTTTTTGCTTATTAAAAATTATTTTCAAATTTCCTGAGCTTTGCAGCTATTGGGCTCGTGACAAGAGTGTCTCAGGAACATAGAAACACCATTACCTTGACATGGTTAGAAAATCGCCGGAGTCGGCCTTTAATGAGCGCCGGAACATACTCCCCTTCTTCATTAAAAGCGTCGCGAATTATTACTGATATCAATTTTTAACACTTACTTGAAGAATACCAAATTCTTACAATACGTTGGCTGTGCGCAAGTTCGATATTTGTGCAATAAGTACGTAATCAGCAGGTAAATGCATGCTGGTTTTGGGACGTTAAACCCCACAAATCAATCAATCAATCAATCAAATCAAGGTAAATGCATGTGCAAGCACTCTGTTACATTTTAAGTGTATTTGCTAAGCTCTCCTACGATAAGTATTAATGTACTTGAGAAAAAAACTTGACGATTATGGGGTGGAGACACCACAAGGGCAACTTTTTCTGGTACAGTAAGCTGCACGTGTGAGAACTGCTGACTGTCAAGCATTTCGAAGAATGCATTTAAATAGATATATTGAACCAAGTTTGCCTTTTTGGTCCTTCATATATGGCTAACGCTTTTGTGTTCGGCAATCACTTAGAATCAATTAAAATATAATTCCATATCTATGGACAAATCAGCCCATTTTTTCAAAACGATCTCCGCTAGTTTGTTAGGCTGTCAAAGTACGCAGATTGCTTTACTTCATTTCTTTGAGAAATTTTACGTCGCTTTTAATAAGTATTTTCTTGCAGTGATTTCCCTATAAACACCTTCATATTATGCTGTAGGGGCAACTGCACAACCACCGATGTGTGGCAACGAAGAAACCAATGCTTACCGCGACCCGTCGGTGGGATCTGTGGCCCCGATAAGATTCACGGTGTACTGCTCTTCTGCGTTTACAGAGACGAGCTCGTTGAAAACACACTTCTTGTTTTTGTAGAATGGCTCCTTTTCGTAGGATCTCATGAACAGGTGATATCTCCCTGGTACATTCAGCAGCTGCAACAGAAAGTATCACAATATCATATTGTGATAGTTTCAGAGTTCACCATACACAGCTGCCCCAAAATCACTGCGCACTTCTTCAAATGAAAGCTTCGTGGTACATAAAAAATTCGGTTAATAGTGGGTGGATATCGCACCATAGATCAACACTTTGAGGAGGCAGTATCCAACCAGGTAGACAGCAATTCATAGCATGAGGGCTTACTCATTGATATATCCAGGAATATGTAAGATAAGCATTGCATAACCCGTCAGCAACCTTGAGGAGCTCAGTTGTAGTAATCCAGTCAACAGGCAATGAATACGGCAAGAGAAACATAGGAAAAACCACTTGTGATAAACACAGGGAATAAGAGCTTGAGGAAAACCAACAGGCCGCAAGGGGCTGCAAGAAAAAAACATCCAACAAAAGCTCGCAGACAACAAGGGCGTTACCAGAAACTCTTTTCGGAAGGGGGGTGCTTCGCCATACTTCATATACACTAGTGTGCGTGCGTTTGCGTGACTACACACAGGTGTGTATGTGGGTGCATATCTGGTGTGTGTCTGTGTGAGCGCACACGTGTGGACGAGTATCTTTGTGCGTTCAAGCGTGTGGTGTGTGTACCTGTATGCGTGTGTGTGTAGGTAAGTGTATGTGTGAGTGCATGTATGTGTACGTGTGTGTACGTGCGTGCGCGTGCACGTGATTGTGCGCGTGTGTTTGTGTGTGTGTTTGTGTGTGAATTCGCATATATAGACATGCAAGACTGAAAATATGCGCAGCTTGCACTGAGCTGTGAAAGGCTCGAGTAAGCACCTACCTTGGACTGCTCTTGCTAAGATTTGCAAGGTGCCCGTCAGATTTCACTTAGTTTTGCTAAGTATTGCGAGAGCTTTTTAAAGGCGCAGCACTTCTTCAAGTAGCCACAGAATGGACTCACTGGAAGAGCTCATTGTCTTACGAATTCACCACCATAAAAACTTTTAAAATCCGTACAGTACCAGCAGAGTTGCAAAGATTTGTCACATGCCACAATTGAAGCCTGTCTCTCCCATCCTGATGAAAGCGCTGCAAGTTGAGTAGGGAGAAAAAGCACAAGCAAAGAAAATACGTCACGCGCGCCATCTTATCTTGAGCCTAGTTTTTCTTCTTTTTTTCTTCTTCTTTGAACACGTAGCTATTTAGTGAGATCGCGAGCGCGAGAGCAAGTGGACAAGCCTTGGCCTCCCGAAGAAGCCTTAATAACGACCAAAGGCATCTTTTTCAAATCATCCAATGTGTGATACAATGGTTGCGACAAGTGATCTTCAACCTTGCATCCTAATTTGTGGAGAGAAGGGACAGCAATTTTCTGTTTACTTTAATGATATATTGGTAATTCCAGGCTGCGTACTGTGCAATATTGTTTGACTCGCGTTGCCTCAGGATTTCTCACTTGACAACCGAGCAGCTGCGCTTTCTGACAATGCTCACAAAGTCTTGCAAAGCAAGTTTTAATTTTTGCTGTTTTCCCAGTTGCCGCGAACTATATTCGTAGGATCTTGGGGCAGAAACGATGGCTTTCACTGCCGTTTCGTAATCAGGCTCGACGTTGGGTGTTTTCCGTTGCTCACATGGTGGGATCACTCTCTCAAAGGCGCTGATTACTGAAACGTTGCTGTTCGCTTTCTCCCGATTGAAACTTGGAGTTCTCTACTCAACGTGATTTTTTTCTCACTTGCAACCTCTACAGATGTTATCGGTTGTTTGAGCATCTGCGATCCTATTCAAACAGGGTGACAGGACGACTTTCCCGGCAAGCCACTTCATCCTAGAGCATCCGAACTTTTTTTGCTCTTCCCATAGGCAGGCGCACGTAACAAAGGAGGCCAGAGACAGTCGTGCCGTCGCGAAGACTGTTTCGAGCTTTCCTACTCGGATGCGATGGAATATGTGGTGGTTAGAAAGCGCGAAGCAAGGCGCAACCAAGTTGAGTTTCTCTTAGCACTACCTGCAACAGCGCAGTGAATTAACAGCTGCAATGTTTGATTTTTGGCGAGAAGGGGTGGGCGAGGTGGAATGTAAGCGCCCTGCAACGCCAATGGTATCTTCTGTGGGTTGTTGATTGACGCAGCCTTTTCTTTTAGGAGTTGAAAAAACTGTGACCATGTTGCGTAAGCCACCTATTGCTATCATCTCACCTCATTGTCACAAAACTAAGGATATGCATTCTTTTTCTCGGACTTTACTGCCATCACATTAGGGCACTGCTTCGGTCAGTAAAGATACCCCACTGAATGCCTTTGCAAGGTGTTTGCAGTGTGCGATTGATAACCTCAGTGGGCATCTTTTCATGGCTATGATGATAAACAGCTTAGGCAGATCCCACGTACCTTGGGAATCGACGTTATGCGAAGCATGCGGAGGGAAGGTCACCGTGTTCTAATTTTTTTATTGAGTGACGCGTTATAAAATGACGCTAAATGTAAGCATAAACGTTATAGAAGATAGCACATGCATACGTTAAACAGATGAAGATGTGTTTTTAACCATTTGTTTGCACTTGCATAGCGATGCAATGCTGAACATGAGTATTATCAACACCAGAAACGATAGCTGATATGAAACGATGATGATCGCGAGGGTGGTAGCCTTGGACACTGCTACTTAAATCCAGTTCAGCGGTGACAGCTAACCACAATTGAGGTTAGCCCGACGTGACGGCTGTATCAAAGGAGTACATATGTAATGTTTATAAAATCGCTTAGCCGGCACTGCAACCACAACTGATGTTACACGAATAAGATCGATTTGAAAAGTAGTTTCCAGACCTAGCATGGCTTTGTGGTAGAATACTTGATTGCCACGAAGGATGCTGGGGCTTGATTCCTGCTAGGACGTTGACACTTTTTTTGCATTCTTCGATCGGGTCGACGCTGCTGATGGCAGCCTTTGTTTAACGCTCACGCGTTAAAATAACCCATGTGTGTTATCACCGTACCAAGGTAGATAGAAAGTGTCCTTCACCCATGGCATATCCGCGCATACCAGTGTATTATACCAACCCACGGGTACCATATTAGTACCTATCATACTAATATTGGTTCACGCCAATCTAAAAGGCTGATCAACAGAGCACCAAGATATAAGCGGATAGATAGATAGATAGATAGATAGATAGATAGATAGATAGATAGATAGATAGATAGATAGATAGATAGATAGATAGATAGATAGATAGATAGACGGACGGACGGACGGACGGACGGACGGACGGACGGACGGACGGACGGACGGACGGACGGACGGACGGACAGACAGACAGACAGACAGACAGACAGACAGACAGACAGACAGACAGACAGACAGACAGACAGACAGACAGATAGATAGATAGATAGATAGATAGATAGATAGATAGATAGATAGATAGATAGATAGATAGATAGATAGATAGATAGATAGATAGATAGATAGATAGATAGATAGATAGATAGATAGATAGATAGATAGATAGATAGATAGATAGATAGATAGATAGATAGATAGATAGATAGATAGATAGATAGATAGATAGATAGATAGATAGATAGATAGATAGATAGATAGATAGATAGATAGATAGATAGATAGATAGATAGATAGATAGATAGATAGATAGATAGATAGATAGATAGATAGATAGATAGAGAGATAGATAGATAGATAGACCCCAAAAGTGACTGCAGTGCGCAAAAAAAAAACTTTCGCATTTCAAACAGCTTCGCCTCATCCTCAGATTTTCTTGGGTGCTGTGAACAACTGATCATTGATTTACGCGTCCATATCTTTATAATACCTTGAGTTTTATACTTAACACTTGCCATTCCATCTACTGAGCCGTTTTAATTCATATTTTCAGTTTAGCACGGCATGCAGGTAACTAACTTTACTCTGAAGAATAGGAGCAGCGACGAAACTGGGCACACGCGTAGGGTGTCCCAAAACCACTAGAAAAAAATGACTACATCATGAAGTTCGCGTACTATGGGAACTATGCTGACCAAGGAACAAGTATTATGCCAAATGTGGGCTCATTTCAGTTTCATGTTATTCATTGATTTCAGCATTGGAAGAGAACTGTGTGAACCGTGGTGGCCCGCAAGCACTCAAACATGTTTTCTCGCTGCAGTGCACGCAGCCGACATTTGACGACCGCATTCGCCCATCTCAACTACACGATTTTTTTGCAGAATACAATGCCCTTATGCTAATTTATAGCAGCGCTACTGGCTTAGAGAGACTCTTTTCCGTCTTTTCCTACTGTGCAAGATTTAGAAGTAACGCTGTTCTGAATTTGACACCGTAGCTCGTAAGGGCCAGTTCTCGCGTTCAGCGATGTCGCCGTTGCCTTTACCTCTACCATCGCTTTCGGTGGCGTAACCGCGCGAATGAGTACGTGCCGAGAAAATTGGCGAAGGCCTGATACCTTGTGCAACGACAACAAAGTATGTGCCACAGGAATAAGGTGAGCAAAGATGTGAGTTTGTAAAAGGTGCTCTTAGGCACCGATTTCTGTATGGCGTGGCGTCGCCATCACCGTGCAGAAAAAAACACATTGGGAAGCTTCGGGAAAAGCACTAAGCCATGTACCATGCCCTGGAAGCTATTATAATTAAGTGGCACAGTTTTGGAAACATCCCGGCTGTATCGACAAGGCAGGACTATATACATCTCGGTTCCCGGAGCGGGGACTCCTCGTTCCCACACTCATGCTATCCCGCACCGTGAAACAAAGCTGGGCGAGTCACTTTAAACCCATTGATGCCTTCCATTGTGAATCGAAACGTTCTTCAGGTGGTGCTTCACACGTGCGTGTGTACCACTTGCGTGGTTAGATATGTAGATAAAGTCAACCGAGCCCAATCTGAGCCGCCGAGTGCGAGAACTTGTGAAACAGAAGGGTGACATGGATTACAAGCATGCAGCTACTGAAAAATCTGGGTGTGAAGATATCCAATACAAGTAAATACTTGTATGCTAATGTACGTACATACACTTCTTTCTCAAATTATCCGTCTCAATTTAGAGCAAAATCAAAACAACTAAACAACAATGCTAAGAATTCACATTAGACGACATACCGTAATCTTCGGTGAAAGTTTTCATCCTATTTTTGCAACATCTGCATTTAATGCCTCACTGTTTGTGCTATTGGGCACGCAAATGAAGCGTAGGGCACACTTTGAGAGTATGTGTATGATGATGCGTTGCTCTTTTTGGTATTACTTTCAATGTTTCACCCACAAAGCTGTTAGAAGATTAGCTGTTCAATAAAACTAGTTGCAACTTAGATACGTGACGAGATTTTCGATTTCATAACTATTCTATAGCAAGGACCATCATTACTACAAGGCTTCCAGCAAACGGAATCTAAAATGTGCATTCCAACTACACATATGATTCGCATGGTAATGAACTGGAAAACACTGAAGTGATTGGATAATCTTCCTCTTGCACTGACACATATCAATTTATCGCAGCCGCTGCTCACTATACTAATTCGCTTGAGGAGAAAATCGCGCATAGTATTTATCCCTCTAAATTTAAAAAATATTTTTACTCTGCGCTTCATTGACGTAAATTTCTTCTCTATGTTTCCCGTTTAGCGATGTGGTTAAGTGAAATATATGTGTACCATAAGTGCCACACCATTCGTTTCTAACAATGTCAGAACGCTTCGCTCAGCATTACGTAAAACACTGACACCTTATAAACAAATTTATGCATCTTTGTTATAATAAACAAACGACACCGACGTAAAAATGCTTTCAATCGCGCCTGTTATGTTAATATTATCCTATTGATCCTATGCCATCGCAATGCAGAAAAATTGATTTCGCAACATCAGTTTCAAATCAAACCTTTTGTGGTCATGATAACTGGTCAGCTCGGTCATTCTTGAGATAAGGCAGATATCTCAGTATAGTTCTGCGCGACTTTGATTTAATATTGCGCTGAAATTTTGTTATCATTCACTGCGCGCAGTCTGAGCTAAAATAATGACAATCTCTAATTTTTAGCTTACCTTCCATGCATCTTGATGCTCAGCAAGGTATGGCCTTCGTTCTAGACATGGTTCTTTGCTGAGGCAAACAGCAGCGGGCAAAATCAGTGCCCACAGCACCAATATTCTAATTCCTTCCATTGGTGTAATGACACTGATTAGTGATTGCTAAAAAAGAACAGAGACTCCAGTACAGCAACTGAAACAACACAGCCTTCGAACATTTCAAGTTTCACGATGACGTCACTTGGCTAACATTCAGCGTAGACAAGATTATGATCACACTAAACAAAACAAAAACAAAATTACAGTATTGTACAATGTTCCTCCGAGTGAAATACAGTCAAGAATGTCTACAACACCATACTTTGTCAACAAATGTCACACTTCAAACAAAAGTTCATTCCGAATCATTATCTGTTGCACTTAACACTTTAAGCACGCTAAAATTCATCAATAAATGAGATTCCCGTGAATGTGTTCGGTGTAGGGATCATTGCAAGGTATTAGCTCTGCTTGAAAAGGTATTGATTTCCTTTTTAACGAACAGCATCTAATGCAAGTACAACAAGGTACTTTGACAGGTTGTTAAGATTTGGCTGTAAATTCTTAATGTTTCACAAATGACAACCACTGCTATAGGTATTACGTATCATAATTACGATATGATTGACGCCAGAGTTAAGGGCTGTAGAATTTTTCCCCACCTTTGACTGTTTAACATGCGCCTAAAAGAAACTACACTGACCTCTAGTAATGTCACCTCGATTGCAAATGTGACTGTCCTATTAGAAATTGAAACCGTGATCTCCGGAGCAGCAGAAGAGAACCCTTGCTACTATACCACCTTGGTGGCCTTTAACTGCATCATTACATTGTAAAACACCGCTTCTATGTTTTCATTGCAAGAACGAAAATTCGAATAAAGACGACGCACACAATCTACCATAAAACCACGCATGATCGACACATAGCAGCACACAGTAATCGAATATGGATAAAGTCAGACGGTGCTCACTTCCTGGTGGACCCTTGCTTTCGCTTACCGACGTCGAATAATTCCGCAAACCTGAGGACAATCACGGCGGCTACGGAACACACCGCAACACTTGCGGCAACAAAGGAGGCCGCGTGCGCGAACGCTGAATCGATGTAACACAAATAAAAGCAGATCACCCCGTTAACGACCTGAGAAGGAAGTCACGTGACGACTCTGAACCGGTCGCTGCCGCCGCTTCGAAATCGCTTTAATCGCTCACCTTCGAACTATTTGCCAAGCAAAACAACTACCGGCGCTTCTTTCGCGCCTTCCCCGCCAACTGGCGCTCTTCCTTCGGCTCAACTGCGCCTCGTGAAAAAGGAGCGCACGTTGAACGTGAGCAAGGCGGTTTTTATTATTTTCTTTAACTGAAGGCCGAGTGTTGAAAGCTTCCGTTGACTCATTCGTGTCATCAGTCATTTTATTAGCTTCACTTTCGCAACAAAATTAAGCATGTCGAATCTGATATTTTAACGCAGGCCAAGTATAGCTTTCCCTGCCACTTCCCAAACGTCGGCCTTTTGAGACAACTCGCAGAAAAATTTTTTAATCAGCCTGCATACTTTCCACACTCGAAAGCTTTTTTTTTGGTATGTAAGAGCTTACAGCTGTTTTGTTTATAGCACTACCAAGATGTGATAATTGAAATTTCAATTAAAAAAAGAACTCTTACAATTTTACCAAATATTCTTGTTCAGACTTTGGTAAATAAAATCTGATGAGCGCAACCTCACTTAAGGTAATTTAGTATAGAAATATTAGTCGACGATATGCTGAATTCCCAATGCCTCGACTAGACAACTGTTGTAGGCCCGTGTGCTCAGATTTGGCTGCACGTTAAAAAACCCCAGGTGGTCGAAATTTCCGGAGTTCTCCGCTACGGCGTCTCTCATAACCATACGGTGGTTTCGGGACGTTCAACCCCGCATATCAATGATATAAATCGACTAGACAACGAAATTAATAACGTTCTCAGCGTAGCAGCAGTCTCCGATAAATACCAGAAGCAGCGTCAACTGCACGTGGGCAGTGGCCAAGCTACGCAAAAGTTCATTCCAGCGTGTTCCAATAAAGAAGTGGCTCTTACTTTTTCCATGGTGATGGAGCCAATACCTTATCGCACATTGCCACATAAAAATAATGAACCACTTTTTTCATGGAGCGCGTAGGCATTTTTCTTGTGTGTAGGTTGGCCACAGCTCGCGTGTTCCGTTTTTCTTTTGGAGCACCTGTACTCGATGCCTTTCACTCCTTGCACTCCTTATATACGGTTGATAAGTAACAAGGCGAGACCCTTAAGCTCCAATTATAGGTACCAGTGACGTTAGGAAGTAGCCTCAATATGTGAATACCCGCCTACTCTTCCTGTACAACGCGAAAACCTAAAAGAAGCATTTGGAATTGAAGCAAAACTTCGATTCGGCCCAGTTGTAACACATTCATCTATAAATGTGGGGGGACAAATGGGGGCGACAGATCAGCGAATCGGCAATGCTCTTTCACCCTCGCTTGGGTGTGGCAGCTGTTCCGGCACGTGCGTTGCGGCTGTGCGGCTTGAAACAGCCCAAAGGTGCTGCAGAAGTATTTAGTGAATTTATTATGCCATAATTTCATTTGTAATACTTCGGCACACATTTTTTATTTGTGGAGTCTATAGTAAAGTTAGGAAAATTATTGTAATGTTTTCTTAGTAGAAATCCTTGGAGTACGCAGGCGAAAACAATGAATGTCTTGTTGTCCTGCATCAACATTTTACAGTGCATCCTTCGTTCGGACGGGAGTACGCCCATTGTAAACTCTATAATCCAAAGTTTATAGAGCCTATTTACGCTAGAGGTTAAAACTTTATTCTTCTAACCTAGATTTCAAAGCTCTTGATGAACTAGCGGAAGAAGGTTTCTTCCTGGCGTGAGCGCACGCCTTATAGGCTACCGATGGCTATGTTACTCGTGTTGTTTTTTTTCTTGCATTACAGCGAATCTACGACCGCATGCGACGACAGCATACGACAGATAACGACAGCCAGACCTCTTAAAGTGCTCTGAACCTAAATGTATTAACCTAACGGTCACAATATACATGCATATTAGAGGAACTCATACAGCATTTCTTCGCATCAGCTTTAAATCAACAACGACAAGCCTGAAACGTCTTGCCTATGGTGGTTCGCAACGCAACCTATTTTGTTTACTTATCTGCATTCACTTACACATCGTACTCGCACCCATCGAGATCAAGGCCGTGGAGTCCACCTGCGTGCGCACAGTACGTTTGGCTCCTTCGTTGTGTCGGCAATACGTATCAGTGAGCAAGATCAGCTCTTTCAAGGACCTTGTCTTCGTTTTTATGCACTACCTCACCTTGATGTTAAGGAGATGCGCGAACGGTCTCATGGTTCGTAATGCGCGTGGCCACCTCGTCTTTGCATTGCCGATCTGTGCCTGTCGGGGCAGCATTTGAAAAAAAGGTCAGTTTAGTAAACTTAGGAAAGACGTTGTGGCATGTACGACTTGCATAAGAAAGCGTTTGCTTGTACCATTTACTTAATCAATTTACCAGCTTGTGAACAGGTGTACCTACACCTGTCACTGCATAATCTTTGTGTGTCCCATTGTCTATCCTAATTATTTTCATTTAGTCTCTGAACGTTTACTTGAACTTTAAACTTACCCAGTGAACTTTCATATTAGTAGCATTTCTGATTTAATAAGTGCACTGACGTTAAATGCTTGCAAAAGAATTTGCGTGCCTTTATTTTTTATCTTCTACTTTCACTTTGATTCATCCAAGCAAATGTGGTGAAAAAGCAACAAACAAATGCCACCAACACCTAAACTACTATACAAAAACTAAATGCTAGCCACGATCTTTGCTGAAACTTACTCCGTATCCTAAAGTATTGAGCATAGAGTTCTTATATTTTTCATATATTCCGGCAAAAATTTTAAGCGAACGTATAGAGCTATCGGAGTGGCATCATGAACGATTCAGCAGAAGCCCCGAGATAAATACCGGCGCTGCGGCAGTCGCGGCGATATGACATCAAAGCAAGGCCTCTCCTTTACCGCCACTTGTCGCCTCTTTCTGAGCCCGCCGTGAGCCCGCTTTAAGCCATGCGTGTGTGCTTACTCCTCATTCTTGCAATGCAAACATCCCAGCTGAGATGGAAGTTTTCACTGCTAGCGTAAATAAGCTGTAGAAACTTTAGATCACAGAGTTTACAATGGGCATACTTCCGTCTGAACGAAAGATGCACTGTAAAATGGTTATTCACGACAACAAAACCTTTATTGCTTTTGCCATTTACTGCAAGAATATCTGCTAAGAAAACATTCAGGCTGATGCTTCTAACCTCATATTAGACTCCACAAATCAAACATGTGTGCCAAAGTATTACAAATGAAATAATGGCATATACAATTTATTATTCATTAACTACTTGGCATCAAGTCTGCCAGAACGATACCTTCGGGATCAATGAAGAAAATTGCCTTGAGGTTGATTGCTCAGCAGCCATATCGTAAAGTCAGGTACTTCGCCACGCCAAGCAAACATACAAAAATGTTCCACACTAACTGCAATGCCAACAGGTGGCGCTGACTGACGCTCCCACGGTGGATATACGTGTTTTTTGCGCGCTCACGATCGACTGCGCAGATAAGTGGTTTTGCATGTTTCGAGCTTGCCTTTATAATTCATAAGGCAGCAGTTAAAACCTTTGTAGCACTTATAGTGTACGGCCTTTTCGGGGGTCAGTCACCAGGTATTTACTAGTTTGTGTGTGGGTGTGCGTTTGTTTCTTTGTTTTTTTCTCTTGCCATTCCATGGGAGAGATGCACGTACATTGAACACGCAAATTTTTGTAGTAGAGTTTAGACTTTTTTTTGTAGGGCAATGCTCGTCCTACGCCGTGTTTGGTGATTATGGAGTGCGAAAATTTATAAGGACAATTTGTGTCAAGAAGGCATAGTTAAAAAGATTGTAAAGTGTTCATAATGTGGGGTGGGTTTGAAAATGGACCCAAGGGCAAAAACGAATGGAGAGGAGGCTGACGCCAACTGTAGGTAATGTGAGGTCAGGGAAAAATGGACAAAATAGTGGTTGCCTAGAGTGATCTTCTGTTGAGAATCATCGAGATGGAGACTGCGTTGGCGACAGAGCAAGAGAAAACGAAAACTATGGGAAAATGCTGTGAGTCCGCCGAGGAGGCACTAGGAAAGGTGAACAAAGAGCCGCCGACGGAGAGAACAGTAGGGCACCGACACGCAGAACGGCGGACAAGAAAGAGTAAGCAAGTTTCAAAAAAAACAGGTTCAGCTGGTTCAATGATCGCAAGACCCGGCCAGCTTCAGCAAAGTAGTGGTGGGGCTGGCAGGGGACAAAGCAGCCGACGTCACAGCTGCAAGTAACCACCAGGGGCAGGACGCTCCAGCTGAAAAGTCACAGCACGTGATAATCGCCGGGGACTCGAATTTAAACCAATGCGCATAAGCAATCAAAGAGAGGGTAAGAGGAGACAAGAGGGTTGCAGTAGGGACGTTCCCAGGGTGCAAGCTGGAAGCAGTCATGAGGCAAGCGAACGCAAAACTCATAACTACCGCTGATGGACGAAAACTCGTGATAATCTAACGTGCTTTACACGATGTCGTAAATGAAGATACAGTAGTACTACCGACCATACTGGCGAAAGGGGTCGATGACATGCGCGCAACTTCTCCTCAAATTGCAGGCAACGCTACTGGAGCTACCAGTGGATGACGGCAACCTGAAAAGCGCGGTTGTCAACGCAAACCAAGAGTTATGACAGATGAGTCAAAATAAAGGCTTTGAGGTAGTGAAAATAAGTAGATAGGTGCATAGGTGGGGTGATTTTCAATGAGACAGCATTCACTTCAATGAGCGGCTAGGTCATGAGGTGGGTTGGCGACTTGCAGGACGCGCAGAATATTTTTTTATGGGGGGGGGGGGAAATGCACACGGGCACTTAGGGGTGCAGGATAGCTAGTAACAAGGAAAACAACCAGGGAGACTCTTTGACGGGAGGTATGGACAGATACAATTCCAAAGTGGTACCAATATCTAAGACAGGTAAAGCCCAGGGCAGAAATAGACGCAGCCACGAGGGCCGAGCCAAT